CCTAACGCCCTCCCACGACCCCACCACCCCACCCTGACGCCGCCCTCCCGCACCCTACGCCCTCCCACGACCCCACACCCCACCCTGAGCGCCCTCCCGCACCCTAACTCCCTCCCAGACCCTGCACGCCCAGCGCCCTCCTGCACCCTAACCCTAATCCAGACCTTCCAATCGCTGTATCACAAAGTGTTAAACCAAGATTTTCAGAAATAATGAAGCATATTCAATCACATTGCTCTCACTAAAAACATTATTAATAATATTTTTTTTGTGAGAGCAAAAAGGTTTTTTGTACCGTTAATAAATAAAATACAGTAAAAATTATTTTAAAAATATTGTTCCTCTTTATCTCATCCATTTTTAATTTCTATTTTTGGTATGTTTTATATTGTACATAATATATTAGTATAGTAGTACATGTATATAATTTATACATAAATATACATATAGTGAGGGTGTCTACTCAAAAAAATTTTACTGATAGGGGTGCGCGATCAAAAAAGTTTGGAGACCACTGGTCTAGCAGGACAGGTTTTTCTCGTGTTTGTTGTACAGATTTCATACAGCTCATTCATTGCATACACAGTCTAAATATGGTTAAACATGGGCTTTGCATGGGGCGATGAGCACAGAAGTCAGGAGAGGCCAATTCCTGCCCCTTGCCTTGGACCTGGAATGTGGGACAGACACAGAGCCAAGTGGGCTGCACCCTCTCTGCTTGGGAATTGCCCCGGGGGTCTGCATCGTTCATAGACCCGCTAAGCGTGCTTATGCCTTAGTATTGCCAACCCTCATGGTTTTGTTATGGACTTCTGTAATATTTAGCATATTCCCCCCTACTGAACACCCCCGGTTACATTATGTCCCAGTGTAAAATGTAGGCTGTATACGATTGCTCACTAAGCAATTCAAACGGTTCTTCCCTCCTAGGTGTCATAGCAGCGGTGGCGATTGTCCTAATCTGCCTGTTGATCGTGATGCTCCGATACATGTACAGGCACAAGGGCACCTACCACACGAATGAGGCAAAGGGAACTGAATTTGCCGAAAGTGCAGACGCTGCGCTGAAAAATGACCCGGCTCTCCAGGAGGCTGTGGATGAGAGCAAAAAGGAGTATTTCATCTGAGAGCAAAAGGAAGCCACGCTGAGACTGCCTTAGTCGTTCTTTCCCCCCAAGGGAATCGGTCAGAAATGCTACATCAACGAAAGCACTAAGATATGGATATGGCAAGGATAGAAGCAAGCATCCTAACTGAACTGCTACTCTCCCCCCCCCCCCACTCCCTATGAAGAATGGAACACCAGATACCTGGCTGTTGATTTTATTAGCCACACAGCTGGTCACAGTTGAATTCAGTATCCGATCAGAAGAAATAAAATCTCAGTCTGAATGATAAACCGAGACCAGCTAACGATATCAAATGTCACACCTTGACATTTGGTCAAAATAGCAGATGCCAATGGAAAACATCCTCTTAGCGTTAACGATGCCCCCTACATCGATATTATACAGAACTACCTGAAAATGCATTGTCAGTGGTAATAGAACAAGAGTTAAACCAGATAAAAGCTGAGGTTAGTGGAACAAAAATTGGTCTCTAGTCCAGAATTCCCCCCCCCTTTAAATGTGCACTTTGCCAGGTGTGATTTTTTTCCTTCCAGCCCTCTTCCTTCCCCCACTCCCCCCACTTTGTTTTTAAGTCAAGGACGCGACACACACAAACCCTATAGGAGAAATATGGAACACTTAAGAGTGAAGGAATTTTAGCTAGCTCTTCATGGTGACTTGAGGAATGCAAAGTGTTAGAATTTACAGTATATAGTAGGTAATAACCACTAGACTTAAGACAATGATCCCAAATAGCTATTTGGCTCCTCTCATGCATACGTAAGTCAATAGTTATTGGCTAGTGCAGGCCTTCTGAAACAAATGCTCTCCCCTAGATTTGGAATGAGAACTCTGGCCCTGGTGTTTGTTTATTTATTTCACATTGGCGAATTCTTTCAAAAACCTGCTGACATTTGGGGGAATTGAGTCAGAACGCAGACATAAATAACACTTAGAAATGTAACTGTAATGCTACCCTGGAGCAGTTTGTCCATTTGAATCCCATTCGGTGGTATTGATCTTTCTCTCTTTTGTGCCCCTCCCAGCTTTTAAATATATCTCGCTTTTCATGCAGCCTCAGATACAAAAAATTCCATTGAGCATCACCTCTTTAAAAAAATAAAATGGACGTGAGCTGTAAAATGAAAGATCCTGTTCATCACATAAGAATTCACTGTGATGAATTTCTTCACAACAGCAAGCTCTTTGTCTCACGGAAACCACCAGGTCGTCCTGGAAATAGGATTAATTGTCCTCTGCACCTGTTTATCACCAGCTAGGTTTATGCCCTTAATTATCCCAAATGAGTATGGGGGGGGGGCGGAGGGAACAATTAATAATAAATGTGCCTTCGATCAACTACCCTGTTTTAAATCAATAGTTTTCTATGTTTTCCTGTTTATAGAGAGACATCTATAATTGTGCTTTCACAACTTGGTGGCTTCATGTTCTCCAAAGATCTTCATTTTATGACACTGGAAGCCAGACTGGCTCCTAGAGACCAGCTTAATTCACCAATGTTGGCCATACAACTACTAGAGGAGACTAGATCTCCAGGAGAAAATATTTGAGGAATCAAGTAGATTTGGTGAAGGAAGGGGACAGTTTTGTCTCTTTAATTAAATCCTCAAGGCCGCTCAGTACCTACCAGAGCAGGACTTTGCAGTAGGAGAGTCCTAAAGATTGAATGTTGGCTAATGTTGAATCTTTGCGCTGTATGCTTTTAACCAAAGAAAATCCAAACCATGCCAACTTACTAAAAACTTGGGACCAAATTCCACACACCATTGTACAGCCATATCATATACATCAGCCCACATGATACTAAAATCCAATAGTCCAGCACTAACACAATTCAAATGTTATGGTGTTATGTACTTGATTTTTTTATTCGTGTTACCATTTGAATCCTTTCACCGCTGCTTGTGAAATAGGAATAAACGTGTGTGATTGTTTTGGGTGGAGGAAATTGATTAATCTTAGCAGTGGGAGTACACTTCTGTGCCTGGATCCCCAGAAAAGGAGCTGAGGGGAGGAGAAGGAAAGGGACATCCTCTTCTTGAAGGTGCAGAATTCACATATCTACTATGAAGTTAAATTCTTCGTCGACCTAAAAAAATACATAAGCTTACGCCCTGGATAGGCTCAGGAACCCAGTCTGGAAACAATGTATACATTCCCTATGGATGTGAGGGTGGGTGGAACATACACCCCATGTCATACGCGAGACCAGGGAACTCCCCCGGCAAAAAAAACAACCTTTCAGGAGGCCTAGTGGGCCAGGCCCTATTAAGCCTTTTCCTTAAAGCAAACTTCCTGAACCTTATATGCCCTTATTTCTACCTTGCATCTATCCAGCCCCACACCAGCCAGCTATGGCTGCTAAGAAGAACTTACTCAATAAAGGTTTGTTTGAAGCCTTTCTAGTGGCTGACTGGAACGGTAGTAAATTCTCATCTGAGTAGCCATCTTCTGGACGGACGCACAGCAGAAATGAGGTGGTGGTGGGAGGTCCACTGAGGTTGCAAGGAACAAATCGTTTTTCAAGGCTAGGGATTGTGACTAAGCTACTAAGGAACCATGGGATACCTGAACAGCTGCACAAGGTACACCAGAGTGTGTTTTTATTTATTAATGGGGTGGATGGACCAAGCCAACCAAGTCTGAGAGTCATCTTGAGTTGTGGGACTGATGGCCATCAGGTAGCTGTTAGTCCTAAAGGAGTGGGGTAAATTGGCTTCAATGGAGTTATGCTGATTTACATCAATTGAAAATCTGGCCCAGTATGTGACTATTTAGGCCCCAAATCTTTGGCTATGGTCTCCTTAGTAGTTTACTTCATTTCTGTATGCCATTTTCCCCACATTCACGCAGCCAGCTGAACAATCCAAGTATACAATAACTACATCGTCGACCCATCACCAATGAGCCTTTTAGAATATTTTAGAACAGTAACTTTGGCGCTAGTCATGTTTTCAGTTATTTTCTCTGTGTTCTTTCAAGTTCAGTGATTTTGACTCGCGCACCCAGAACAGAGAGCAGAGCAGGGATGTGAGGGGTTTTTTTGTTTGACTTTTTAGGAATCAAAGGTTGCTTTGTAAAGAAAGAGCAACATTTAACAGTATCATGAGACTGGCAGAGCTCTAAGGGCCCAATCGCTCATCCTCTACCCACACAATAGCCCCACTGTCTTCAATCAGTTTGGCCTTAAATCAGTGCATTACAAAATTCTCATAACTTTTAGGGCTAATTTGCAAAACTTCCCTCTCTGTAAGCCACATGCTGTGCTAAACAGAACACAGTTTGCAATACAGAGGTGCCTCGGCGGGTGGCTGTAACTTTGGATCAAAAAGAGCTGATAGATTTTTTAAAATAGCACTAAAAGTTTTCAGTGAGTTACTTACTCCCATTATTATGTAGCCACCAACTCAGGAAATAGGACACATTTTGTATGAGCAAATGCCAACTATACATTTGGTATAGAGCTGGGTGGGAATTTTTTTGACAAAATGGTTTTCTGTCATAAAATGCTGCTTTGTCAAAACAAACTTCTTGTGGGAAAGGGTTGGTTTTAACAAAAAAACTTTTGTTAGGAAGTTTTGTCGGGTCCAGGATGGAATTTCTGGTCCAAACTAGAGACACTCCAGAATACTCTACTGCTTGAATTCACCTGGGTTCAAGTCCTTACTCCAAATCAGTCAGAGCACAGTCCTTCTGAACCTGAGTCTCACACACCTGAGCTGTGACTAAACCACCGGGCTATTCTGGGGCAGGGGAATCTAGTTCGCTTTCTTCTGGGTTCCCCCCAACCCCCCCAAAAAATCAGAACAGTCTTGGTTTCATCCCAGTGCAAAATGGGAAATTTTTAGAAATCTCAAAAATTTCCACAGGATAGGAAAACCATTTCACGCCCAGCTCTAGTTTGGTACGGATACTCCTGGTGTAGTGCTCTATAATAACTGACAATCATTGGTCCCGCAGGAACCACTTTGTACATAACGCCTCTGTTTGGAAGCACCAGTCGGTCTTCAAAATGCATTTTCAGTGCCTTTGAAACTTTGCATCGAATCCTCAACTATTTGCTAATTTTCAAACTGATGCTGTTGTGGACGCATTAAGGCTTTTTTAAAAATAAGATAATAGCTAGTGTTAAGAAATGAGGCTCATAACTTAATTAGAAAAACTTGTCTGGAAAGATTCCTGTTGATGTCAGTGGGCTTTAGATTGGGCCCTGGAGATTTAAACAGGTCTCACTGAAACACTGTGTTGTTTGTGAAGAAAAATAAAGCTATTTTCAAAATCCATCCTCTAGTCTAGATTAAAGTGAGTTACGTGGACATCTGTTGCTCTACTGGATTTACATGGCACCAACACCTGATCTTATACTAGCTCAGGGGTAGGCAACCTATGGCACGCATGCCGAAGGCAGCACGCAAGCGGATTCTCAGTGGCACTCACACTGCCCGGGTCCTGGCCACC